TCGTAACCACTTCAGGAGCAACCTAATAGCAATAATTGATTAGCGGGATACAATCTATCTAGAAACAGAGATGCGGATAGAATTGTTTAAAAAGAAATCTGTACTCACGGGTAATTCACTCGGGATAGCTAGAGATTTACAGTTTTGCACGGAAAATGACTGTGCTGAATTATCGTCATCCGATATTTCTTCATCACTTTGAGCGTATCCTTTCAGCAGATCCATCTGAATTTGCTATAGAATATAACAAAAAAGTTTGAGTATTGTTGCTTCTAGAATTATCACGAAAATCTGACGACGACGTTAACGACAAAATAGGGCTCCACAGTCTCACTAGAAAAACCAAAACACTAAAGGTTTCAAATTTTTTTAAACGTGGGGGCTCATTCCGCAGTTTTGCTGCTTCCCATCGACATGCGAGCATGAAGCAGAGACGTGAAATCCCGTGAAACCATTAGGTGATATCAAACAAAGTTTGTATAAGATCACTGTAAACTCTTATAAAACAATAAACCCGACAATAGGAAACAGCGAAAATACCATGTGCTCTCCCCAAGCCCCTCCCCCCCAAGCCGAACTGCGCCCATTTGGAAATGAAAGTGGTGAAGTCGTATTTTGAAATAGACGGAGTTTGTGAGTAAGGCTGCGCGTTTATGCGAAACTATGATCTTTCTTATCAATAAAGAACACAAATGGACAATTCAATCATCACGCACAATCTGCACGAGAAAAAGACCCATGAATCATAAATACAACCATTAAAGTTTGATCCTTCAGATCATGCTTGAGCTAAATTAATGCCATGTAGAAGCCCTTCGAAACCCCGCACTTGCCCAATAAATTTTGACCTATAGGTTCCATTTAACAACAAAAAGGTTAAATCGCCTGTCATTTAAATGATACCAAATTCAGCATTACAATATATCCCAGGCCGGAAGGGATTGTTGCTCTGCAATGCAGCAATCCTCAGAGCTGTGATATATTCGAAACTGAGCCAGCACCGCAAATAATAGCATTTTGGTGATCCTCTTAATATCGTGCTTAATCATCTTTTCGAAACTCCATTTCTTCATCCTATCCTATCCCTTCGGTCGGTATAGCTCGGTTCTCACTCTGCCAAATATTTATTGGCTTTTTACGGTACTGGATGGGGAAGGACTGATAGGCCGCGTTCATACATGATTGCAAAAATGCAACACGAATGATGCTAGAACTGCGCGACTTGCGACCTGACGGATTGAGCAGAACCGCGGAACTCGCAAAAAAAGAAAATAGTCATATCATTTCAAAAAACACGTGGAATATTGCAGAAGTCGGAATTGCAGAAATGGCGACGAGACGATCGATCCCTACACTTCTTTGTCCGATAATTTCTGCCATTTCCTGCAAATTCGCGGACACTTCCGAAGTGGCGGAATCTGCCAGAATCTGCAGATTTCTGCATTTTCTCCAATTCGCAACCGACGGCAGACGAACGATCGATCCCTATATCATTTCTTTTTCCGTCATTTCTGCATTTCTGCAAATTCGCGGATTTGCGAGAAATGCAGTTTTCAAATCGATATGTATGCATTTCCTTTCCGCAATTTCCGTCATTTCCACAAGTCGTCATGTATGAACGCGGCCATACTAACGATACGATACAGTTTCTCACTTGCTCGCTTAACAAGCGGTACGAAAACGGGCCTGGCGACGCAATCCTGGCTAGATATGCCCCATTATCCGCGGAGAACGACAACTGAGCCCGCCGTAGTTGAAATAGGTGAGTGCTTTGTGGTCCAACCTTAGCGGTGCCGACCACAGCCAACTACTATTCTTCCGCCCAAGTAACGAACGTCATGATGCTGATCCACCAGCTCCCGGACATTGCCTCATTGTGGTTAAGCAGCCGATTATCGTCTCCACTGGCAATCAGTTTGGATGGCTTATGTGATCGCTTGTCTCCAAGAATACTTCGCTCGAAGCCTATCAATATTTCCAGGATCCACCTTCTTGCTTATTTTCCCCGAATCTTATTGCATTGCTACATACAAAGCAGCACATTTTATTTAATAGTATCAAATGACATAACATCAGTGTGGCACTACAATAGCTTGCTGAACTTTTTTATTTCATAAAAAACAATACAAGCTGCGACCGTCATTTAAATGAATAGATTCAGTCTTTGACAGGGTATCGCGGAGACGGTAGGGGATGGCTTTTGTCGCTACAGGTCGCTAGGCACGTGACCAGAGCTCAAGCTTCAATAAAACCATATGTCTTAAATTTGTACAGTAATAAAAGCGCTAATATTATTTCCAGTCACAAAAAAGATACTTTTGTATGCAAAAAAGAGAAACTCACGCTCCACCAGCAACAGTCTTGTGGCACTTCGAGCAGTTCCAGATGCCGACAGCTTTACGCTTCATGGCCTCCTTTCCGCAAAATACGCAGGTATACCGAGAGTGCTGGGTCACCTCCATCTTCTTGACCATTTTACGCAGAGACGCTCCATATCGGGTGCCGTACTTTCCGACAATACCGACCTTCTTTGTGCGCTTGGCCATTATAACCCTGCAGATCACAATTGATTTCAGGAACTTTACAACTTCGTAACACGAACTTAAGGATGCCAAGAGAAACTCGCAGCGCACAGAGTCGACACAATGAACATACGTAAATCGCACTGTTCTCTACGAACGGATCAAATGCGAATCAATAAAGTAAGGAGTCGCTCAGAACTAAAGATTAGAAAGAATGCGGAGAACTCGTAATCCAGTGAAGCCATTTAAGATTCCATGAATTTACAACCACCAGTCCTTGGTATAAAAATGATGGAGGCAGCAGCGACGGGGAGGAGAAAGGGGAGCATCTTTTGATACTTCCCATCGACGTGCCGACCCATTCAGAGTGCCATTTCGTAAGGTTACAATAGCTAATAGATTTCAGCAGAGTAGGACTTGTAAATCGGAAGTAGTGAACCAGCTAAATGACCAAAACACCCCCTCCCCCGTCGCTGAAATGCATCAAAAAGATTTAGTCATTTAGGACTAAATCTTTTTGATGCATTTCCGCTGCCGCTTGAAACAACCTGGAAAGGCAAAATTTGATATTTTTTTCGTATCTGGAGGGATCGTCCAAGGAGTTTGATAGCACTTTGGGATCAAAATCTCAACTCCGGACAGCTGTGGTTGCTACATAACGGTCATTGGATGGACTCGATTATGTAATGGATCACTATTCGTATTTAACCGGTTTATTAAACAATATATGTTGGAACCAGTACGACTAACGCATGTTCTCGCGCACACCACCCGGGAAACCCTACGAGTAGCTTACCACCATCGAAACGATATCTACTGCTTGGAATTCGTTCTTCCTTCCTTCTTTTGGTGTGTTGCCATCCGCATCTAGTATACTGTTAACTATTACATTTTTACCTTTTCAGGCGCGCTGGAAATAACGCTACGCTGTCAACCCGCGCTGCGAATACCCTTCGAAATACCCTCCTACCCCCCCCCTTATGGAATCTCATCAGCTGCTATCAATTCCTGTCAGCCGCCAGTTGTGGTACAGTCTCAACGCCGAACTATATCGTCGAACCAACTTTCTACTGTTGCTGTAACCCGACCTATGGACTCGGTAATCCTCCCATTCTAACGCCTCCTATCAGATCTTATCAGCTTCACTGCCTCACTGTCATCCGCAAAACATGTTCCTCAAAGCCGCACGCACTGCTACCGAGATAGGCGTTGCGAATTTCGTGACGGGTAGGCACACAGACATATTTAGCGGATTTAATGTGGTAGCATTTCCTGAGTTTTCAGTGTCCTCCCTAATCAGACCGAATACGAGACCATCACTTTCAATTTCTCGCAAACGTGGGATTTGGAAACGCAAGTCAGCGTCAGGTCGCTCAAGAAAAGGGCCACCATCTGCTACGCATAACAACTTGTGCTAGACGAAATTGAATTGTAGACAAGAACATGGGAGATATTCCGTTACTAAACAACTTCGAAATGGAATTATAAACAAAGGGACGAAATCAAAGCATTAAACTTTGTGTATTCCACGAGTCCAGCGAAATCCATATTGAATAATACTACAAACGCGCCTAAAACTCATGGCAAGCAAACGAGTTTGAACTGATTTCCAGTATGGTCACAAAAAAAATGCGAAATCTGAACGGTATTCTGAGCTCTTGCAGGTCATTGTTTTCGTTG